CACATTAAAAGCAAAAAGATAAAGCCAAGGTCATATAATTCTAAAAAAGAAAAGTTGTAATGTAAAAATGTTATAAAAGACAAATTCTAATCTAAATGTAAGATATTTTTAAAACAGTCAAATTTAAAGAATGGTTTTAAGGCAAGAAGACTAATGAATCATTATTTAAGAAAAATAAACTTGTTTCATGGAAAATTTGACAATCAAAGGGTTAAAAACAGAACATACAGGAATAAACATTATAGGAATATGGCTGAGTACTAACTCTCTGAATATAGAACTATGGCTAACCAATTGTAGAACTAAGTGAATGTGATCACAAAATCTGGACCAAATTAACAAAATAAAAACATTATTTAAAAAAGTAGAAAAAATTGTGCTCTATATGTGTAATATAATCTGGAATGCATTCTGCTGTCATATAAAACAAATTAGAAAAAAATTTTAAAAAACAGCAGTGAAAGGGAGATAGAATTGTAAAGTAGTCACTTAATACTGACTAAAATTTAAGTCTGTCATACCTTTTAATCTCATTAATTTTAGATGGGCATTTGGAAAATAACAAATATTAAGGTAAAGAAAGTTATAGAAGAATTTCAACTATTTTTTATTTAGCTTCATTGTTTAAAATTAAATTTAACACATTTATTTCACTCATGTTTTACTATATCATTTACTATCAAGTTTTTTCTCCATCCATCTACCTGTAGATAAGCACACAAAAAATAACACAAGTTATATTCCCTTAACATGAGTGACAATTTTACTTTATTTCTGTTGAGGTTACTTTATACTTTCTCCATTACATTGTTGTAATCATGTATAACAAATAAGTATCATCTTAAGAAAATTAAATCACAGGGTTCCTAAAACTACATTACTTTTCCATTATATAGTCCTATATAATCCTATAAAATATTCATAAGAATTTTACTTAGTACATAAGAACTATGTTCATAAAATATGGGAAACTTAGATCATTTGAAATAGTTCTATGGAACAAAAATGATTTTCTGAAATAGTATTGAGACAACACCACAATTAAGCACACAATAAAAGGGCAATTAAAGTCAGTTCGGAAAGAATGGTTTAACCAATTCAACACTGGAATTTACAAGTTTGTCACTGAAAAGTGAATCTTTAAATAATTTCCAGGCATCAAAATTATAAATACTAATTTTTAAAAATAAAAAATAAAAAAACATTCACAGAAAAGAACCTTAAAAAAAAGATTTTCAAAGTCTCATATAACTAAAATTCCATTTTTCACTAAAAGGCCAGTCTGCACAGACAGGTGCTGTCTGGCCAAAAAGACATTCTCAAATGTTTTGTTGAAACACAAGTTAAAGAACAATTTGGCATTAGCTATAAAGATTTCAAAATCACACATTCTTCAAAGTAAGTAATTCCTTTTTCAGAAATTTACCCTTTGGATACATCACATAGATAGCAAAGACACTTACGTGTACACTGACATTCATTATAGCACTATTTGTAATAGCAAAGTAGGGAAAACAATCCTCCTATTTACAATGGAAAACTGTCGAATAAACTTGTGAAATATCCAAACAACAAAGTCCACAAGAGCAATTAAGAAAAATGAGGTAGAATAAAATGTGTTCATATGAAATCATGCACAAAATAATCCCAGTCTCATGGATAGTCCCTATTCCAGGGTATACAAAATCAGAAGAGCTGGGCAGTTACCATAAATATGAGGTACTGATCCCCAAAAGAAACACAGAAGTGCTAACCAAAGGGGGGGGAAAAAACTACTGAGGTTGGCCTTAAAGTATGGGAAACAACAGAAAATAAGAAGGAGATATTAAGATGGAGAGTTCAAAAGCTGTACCCTCTATTTCATAGCTACAGCCCATTGTTACCAGTCTGGTATTAATTCCAGAACAAGGAGAGGAAGGAAAAAAAAAAAACCTCCATCTACAAACTCTTCTTAATTGAAATACTGGCAACTGTTTCAAAATACTAAAATACTGACCTGGACAAATTAAATCTATGGATCGGGTGGAACACCAATGCAAACACTTTAAATCCTATGAGAAGTATTTCTCTTAATCTGTTTCATGTATCAGTCAGCTATACTTTTCTGTATATGGTAACTCTAAACTATATTAAATGGCATAAATAATAATAAGCAGTAAGATAATCAAATGATGTGATATAATCAACAAAAATATATGGGCTTAGGGCAAAAAATACACACACACATATATAGCAATACAAAGAAATTTACTGATTTCTTTAAAAAGCATACACTAGGTGGTTACAATACTTTAAAGAAACAGTTTTAGGTTTAAGTTTAAAAACTAATCATTCTTAAGAAGTTTCATAAGGTATGTTCAAATGTTCCATTTGGTAAAATTTCAATGGAAACAGGATTATAGCATCATATTACTTTAACTAAATATCTTGACTTCCCTCAAGGACAGCCCTATAGCTGCAGACAGAGGAATGCACATTCCACTTTGAAATCACTGCGGCTCAAAGAAGAAAACGCCTGAGGATACAGCAAGCTCATCATGCCTGTGCCCTTTCGACTACAGTAGTCTTTCTTAATATTTTACTGAGAATTTATAGATATTTAAAAACTAGGTCAAGTTTTTCATAACCAACAACATAAAATGAAGTTAATATAGGAACAAGTATTTTGTACAGATATAATGAATTGTTATAAATATTATTAGATTTGATCTCTACATTAATGTTAAAAATCCTCTTTCTTATAAAGGAAAACAGAGTCACAGAAAAATAAATTACCCAAGATCAATAAATAATAGAGGTATAATCAATAATCACAAAGGTTATACTTAAAAAAATGACTTTTAATTTGGGATTTAGTTAAGTCTTATACTTAGGACTGTTAATCTTAAAACTAAAATAATAAATGCTGAATAAGTCTAAGTTTAAATCCTAACTCTGTTACATGCTATATGTGACTCTGAACAAGTCACTTAATATTTTTCTTATTTTCTTTCCTTTTTAAGCAGAGAGAAAACTCACAGGTCACAGGAAATCAATGAAATGAGGGTGGGAGCCTTACCCAATGTAACCAACGTGTGATCAATAAATGTTAGCTATAAAGGGTCTCCACCTAGAAGTGGTAACACTTATACTTTAAAATGTATCAGTTTTCATTGATTTATAACACTTGTTTAGATTTTTAAGGTGCATGTTAATTATTAGGAAACATTAAGATTTTTCCCCTCAAATTTCAAGTGTTTGAGAATACTTTCCAATTTTTCCCTGCTATAAGAAAATTAGGCATACTAACATATAACATATACTAGGTACTTCATATTGATTTAAAAGTATGCTATGGGATATCCAGGA